GAGAGAGAGAGAGAGAGAGAGAGAGAGAGAGAGAGAGAGAGATTCTTCTTGTTGTTCTTATTTTTTTTCTTCCTCCCATCCATATCCACTGCCTCCTTGGTTCTGTAGAGAGAGGAGCGACTTGGTGACTATTTCAGAGAGACTGCTCCCCGGTTCAGACTCGGCATTGTACTTTGGAACTATTGGGAGTTTAGAGAGATTGGTTTGACTATTTTGTTGGTGACTATTTCAGAGAGACTGCTCCCAGGTTCAGACTTGGCATTGTACTTTAGAACTATTGGGATTTAGAGAGATTGGTTTGACTATTTTGTTCCAAGACTCTCTCTCCTTCCTCGGTCACATTCGTCCATTTTCTCTCCTCACATCTATAACTATCTCCCATGTCCTTGATACACCAGGAGGGACTTCGTCCATGTCTGTTTCCCCTCTTGTTTGCTTGAGTGTTGATTGGTGAGTTCATTCTCTGTGTCCAAGTCGCATGAGTCACATAGATTGGTCTCAGAGATCCGCTGCCATTATCTTTCCTTCTTTCTTCCCTTTGGTCATTGGCTCTGCCGATTGCCTCTGTTCATAGGGACGCATCAGCAAGGCGGGAGGTGCTTGCACTTTCTTTCCTTTCCTTGCCAATGCCTCTCCTCCCTGCCTTTCGCTCCTTCCCTTTATTCCTTTCCTTTTCCCTTTCAATTTCCCGCCTTTGTTCTGCCCTTTGCTACCTCCTTCAGGTCTCTTCCCTCTCCCTTCCGTCCTCCTCTCCCTCTGTTCTCTTTCCTCCATTCATTTTTCTTCTGTGATTTCCCTTTCTTGATTTGTTCTCCCTCGATCCCTCCCTTCTACCCCTCCCTCCCTTCCAATCCTTATGTTTGTTCCCTGGTTTACTCCCTCTTTACCATCCCTCCATTAATGCGCTTGTTTTCTCTTCGTTGCCCTCCCTCTCCTCCTCGCACTCTTTGCATTCCTGTTTTCCATTCCTTTGCTTACTCCGTCACCCCTCTGCCTGCGCACCCCTTCTATTCCCCTTTTTTTTCCTTCCAAACCGCTCCCCTCCCTTCCTCCCCCCTTTCCATAACTCAATTCCTTCCCTCCTCCACTCCCCGATCCTTCTCTTTCCTCTCTTCCTTCCCTTCCTGCCTCTATTTCCCGCTTCTTCCTACCCTCCTTTCCTCCTTATCGCCTGCCTAGCCCGCCCGTCTTCTTTCTTTCCTTCCCTCCTTCCTTTCCCTTCCCTCCCCTGGCCCCTCCCTCCTATCCCTTTCCCACTCTTCGCTTCCTTCCCCACTCCCTCCCTTTCCATTGCTTCCTTTCCCTCCCTCCCCCTATTCCTGTCCACTACTGCCCTCCTTCCAGCCCTTGTTTCCACCCTTCTCCACTCCCTGCCTTCCCAACTCCCTACCTTTTCCCCTTCCATCTTCCTTCTTTCCCTTCTTGTCCTTCCCTTCCTGTATACTTCTTCATTCATTGTCGTTTTGCAGGAGGTGGGCACTGTCGTTTTGCAGGAGGTGGGGTTGGCTGGTCTCCTTACAGTATTTCAAGGCTTGTGAAATTGGCAATCTCTCTTGGAAGTGACCCAGAAATGGTGTTGTTTGTGAGGTCCCTGCACTCACGACAAATGCAGAGATGATACAATTAGCCAAAGGTCAGAAAAATACGCAGATCCAGATATAGAGGCATAGTTTCAATACGGATAGTACAGAACATACATTGCAAGTGTTCCTCTACAAAAAACATACCCAAGTATGACTCAACCATTCCAAGTAGCTCCTCTCCTAAGATATCATGCAAGACGGAAAATGCAGTTCAACCTTTATTGTTGGCATACAAAACAAGCAGTTTATGTCTATAGAGTCAAGTATAGACTCTATAAAGTCTATACAGAAATCATTATCACATCACGACCTGAAGCACAACTGCACATACAACTTGATACAAGTACAAAGCTCATGTGCTTGAAGGTAAAATAAACATTAAGGATAATTTACACTCCTCTTCCTTCTGCTCCCAAGTGGGCGTCCGGTCTCCTTCCTGTATTTATTAAGGAGTAAATCAACCAAGGGTAGCGTTGCCGAAATGCACGTGGAAAAGCACTTGGTCAAACCGAGCAAGAGGAGGCTCGCACGGAAATCGTCATAGCACAAAAACAGATATGGTTTGGTATTCCCCTTTTTCCTTTATTGTTTCTGTTTTTTTTTTCTTGTTTAGCGGAAACGAATCGTGCTCCTTTTGATTTACCAGAAGCGGAGCTGAGTTAGTTGCAGGCTATAACGTAGAATATTCTTCCATGGGTTTCGCTCCTTTTTTTTCAGGGGAGTATGCTAATATGATATTAATGAGTAGTTTATGTACTCTTTTATTTTTGGGTGCCTGCTGTTGGTCAAAACCAGCAAGGCCTTAGTCGGAGTGGTGAAATACTACATGGGGGCAGATCACCTATCGTATTGGGGACAGACGACTAAACGACATCTCGAAGCGCTACAGCCTATAGGTGATACCGGCGAGATCCAGTCGAATGATTTTTTTACTGGAAGTCAGAGGACCCGTAGTACCTGCCTAACTCGAAAGAGACCTGGTAACAGGAAAGCACTGGCTACTTCGCCAGTAGGGAAGGGGTCTAGGTATCTGCTTAGCCTAAGCAGTGACACGTAATTTAGCAAAACATACTAAGGTCCCTGCCATGGCCAATGCTGCATGAATTCGCAGTTGGCTGCTGCTTCTGTCTGCGAGCCTCCCAGTCAAACCTCAAGGGGCAAACCACTCGCTCCACCTTACCCTACTTCCTTCAACCTCCTCCTCATCCTCCCTGCCTGTGTCTGAGTTACACTTGTTTAAGTGCACTGGCTTTGAAAATTTCACTTCCCATATTCTCAGCCTTACCCATAGCCAATAAGAATGGGTGTAACAGCATGAGCTCTTCGAGAATGCAGCACATTCTATGAACAGCCAGGCAGCATGGCAAAATCATGTCTTGTCGAGAAAGAGAAGGGCCAGCAGCCTAGGTCAGTTGGTTTTGCACATAAGTAGCATTCAGAAGGTCATGGGTTCAATCCCCCACAGCCGCCTGTAGCATGCATGGTGTACAGCAATTGAGATATTTGGCTCGTCCCGTGTACAGCAATTGAGATATTTGGCTCGTCCCATCTGGTCGGCCTTGGTCGGCCTTGGTAGCGTCCCAGGTTCTCTCGGAGACCTTCACCCCTGCCATTCCTCGCTGGGGGTTAATTCCTAGTGTAGATTTATGTAGGTCCTTCCTTCGGTACATAGACATGGGTAGTTGTGCTTAGACATGAGGTAAGTAGCGGGTGGTATAATTGAGAGAAGAATATAGCTTATTTGAAAGAAGGAAAAAAAAAGGTCAGAAAAGAAAGGCCCAACAAGAATAGAACTGAAGCGAAGTGTATCCATTGTAATCTCTTCCGACTTACTGGTGGAATAGGAACCAGACTGATGCTCCCCAGAATGGAAACGGAGCCAGGTCCTTAAGGACCTGTTTTGTTTTGTTGTCTTTTTTGTTCTTTTTTTCAATTCTTAAAGAACTGAAGCAAACTGGGAATGCCAAAGAGAAATTCGCTGTATAGAATTTAGTAAACAGGCTCCATCAGATATCCAGACCCGTGCTCGGGACTACACTCATGCATGATACACAGTCTCCTGTCTTTTTTTTTTTTTGTACTTCTACTACGCTGCGATGAACCGACCAAACACAGACTGAGACACACAGCTGATTTCTGAGTTTTGCTCATGGACTGAATGCCTTGCTGAGTTTCCAGCTTGCTACTAAGTTCTCCAAGTCTGTGTGTGTGCACGCTTGCTGGTCTGCATGTTTGTCTGAGTGCTTGTTGGCTTGAGTGTGTGCGTGACCCGCAAGGGCACTTGTTGTTCGTTGGGCCCTCAGGGGCGGTGCTTACCTGTGGCCGTGACATTGAGGATTGCAGCAGGGAAAACACTCAAGTGGCGGGGGAAGAGGCCCGCAACAATTGGAAGCAGTGGGGAAACACTCAAGTAGCAGGTAGGCCGGTACCACACCCTGAAGAGGTAGATGTGCCGGGTACTCGAGGCCGAGCAGAAGAAGACAAAAGTTGGCATTTTTAGAGGCCCAGTAGTTGTAGGCTAGGTCTCGGCGGGTACCAGTCCAACCAATCTGAGTCTAGGGCCTGTACGGGCGATATCAGAGTCTGCAATGATGTTTCCCTCTGAAAGGGAGGAGGTACTGGTTGCTTGGAAGGCTGAGCGGCCTGGAAGTCACCCCCAGAGAGGCAAGCAGGCCGCTATATCTCCAGGCCGGGTGAAGAGCCCAGCCTCATCGTCAGTGCGCAAGTTTGGCGACACACTGGTTGGAGCGCTTGCTGGAGCAGCGCTAGCTTGGAGCAGTGCTGCTGGGAAAGGAGCAAGGACACGGAGGAGGAAGAAGACCAGGAGGAAGGGGGAGCACCAGAGGTACTTACCTGGCTATGGTGGCAGCCATCTTCATTACCTTGGTGGGCGCAGAGCTACACCAAGAAGCTTCGAGGCAGAGTCAGGTATGGCAGCCTGAGCTAGAGCAGCCATAGCTGTTTGGGTTGTCCTTTGGACATCAGGGCAAGGCTTAGTAGTCCGCCATAGCCTCGGCCTATGAGAGTGAAGAGTGAGGGAGGCGGCCATGGCTATGGTGGACCTCAAGTGATACCTGGAGAAGAAGAGGGATTCGGACATTGATTCTGGTTCAGCCATTCAACATTGTATTATTATTTATTGTGTGAATAAGAGCAGAGGAGAGAAGGAGGAGAGTGTTTGGCGAAGAAGAAGAGCATTATCATTTGTCTATGCTGGTGTACATCATCTTCTTCTTCTTTCTTTCTTCTTGTTCTTCTTCTTACCCTCTCTCTCCTCTCAAGTTCATTCATTTCTTTTGCAATTGGACGACATTGTACTATCTGATGAATGTGTACTTCGAAATTGGCCATGATCATAACAACGCTATTTTCTTCCCATAATTCAGCCTCCCACTAGGTCTATCCACCATTGACCGACCAGCATCCCGAAACAATATCACGCGGCAATCCAAATCTATGCACCACGGTTACGGGTTTATGCGGCTAGGTCTCGTTGGATTGTCGCTTGTTGTCTTGTTCTTTCGGCTCATGTGCTTCTCCTCTTGAGTAGTTCCCTCGAGTACTTGAGAGGTTTCTTCCCTTTTTCCTTTTCGAGTCAGTTTGTCTCCCCTTCTCGCTCCCCTTCTCTCTTCCCTTCTCTCTTTCCTCTTCCCTTCAATTTCCTCCCTAATTCCTCTCATTCACTTTCCTTTCTTTTGAGTGGGCCAAGTCCGAATTGGGGATCACTTTTTCCCAGAAGTCATTCTCCTTTTGTCATCCTCCTTTTGTCTTGCCTCTCTTCCCTCTTCTCTTCCTGTCTTGCTCTGCTTCTCCTCTCCTTTGTTTTTCTCTCGTTACTTGCTTCGCTGTCCTCCTACCCCGTTCCTCTTCTCCCCCTCTCCTTCTTCTAACCTTTCCTCCCTCACTGTGAGTTGGTTGGGGGGCCTCATGGAGCGGCCATCATGCATCACCGAGGCTTTGAGTTTGAACGAGGTGTGCTATGGCATGAGTGCGTAGACGTGTGAGCGGGCGAGTGCGTATCTGGAAAAACGCGCGTGCGCGACGCGGGGAGCAGGCTGGGAGGCTAGAGCAGCGCTTACCACCCAACGCTCTCTTTTGGCGTTCTCTACTTAATTTGGGGCATTTCTAGATTTGTGCATATTAAGCCACTGAGAGATCAGACATTGGAGAAATCACCGGGCCTGAGATTCGTTGAGAATGAATCAAGAGATACTGGCCGTAGATAACACGAGATCGAGGGACAGTTATCTAGATCGAGGGACAGTTATCTCAATCCATTCTAGAGGGATCTCACCGTGTGTGGTCTCTACAATGTTCTTAAGAGTTTACATGTACTCACAAGTATCTCAGTTCTGGCAACATATGTAGGAAGCCTGGAAAGTTATCAGTGAAGTTATTGTACTCCAGCCTCCTGCATCATCGAGTGACATGGACAAAAAAGAAAAATGAAAGTCAGAAACATGAATCACAAACATACATGTGAGAGTGTGCTATGTGGTCTAGTCAACTGCTTGGATCCTTGTTCGATGACTTGGTTTGCAAACATGTCCAAACCACCTGAGTTTTCATAGTCTTAATTTGTTCATCAGAAAAAAAGAAAACAAGACAAATAACAGCTCACCCTCTGCCTAACGTGAAGCAACTTCCATGGAAGGAACAGGGGTACATGGATAGTTTTAAGAATCAAGTCAGAAAAGGGATCTCCAACAGCAATTCAGACACTACAGGCCCCAGCATTGGAGACAGCCCATGACATCAGCCAACATTTGTGTATGGCACTAAAAAATACTGATTACATGAGACTTGTTGCTATCCACATGACACTGATGAGCACCATGGAGCAGACCGAAAAGGGCGCACATAATCTCTCTCTCTCTCTCCTCTCTTCTCTCTCTCTCTCTCTCTCTCTCTCTCTCTCTCTCTCTCTCTCTCTCTCTCTCTCTC